GGGCCTTGGCAGAGGAAAGATGCGTGTGTGGCGCGGGGAGCCCTTCTTGACTCACAAACACCCAGGCTGCGTCTACACGGGCATGATTTTCCGGAAATGCTTTTAACGGGAAAGTTTTCCGTGAAAAGCATTTTCGGAACAGCGCGTCTAGATTGGCAGGACACTTTTCCATAAAAAAGCCCCGATCGCCATTTTCGCAATTGGGGCTTTTTTGCGGAAAACAAATCTCTGCTGTCTACACTGGCCCTTTTGCACAAAAGTTTTTCGGAAAAAGACTCTTGCCCGAACGGGAGCAGGATAGTATTTCCGCAAAAACACTGACGATCTTACATGAGATCGTCAGTGCTTTTGCGGAAATTCAAGCGGTCAGTGTAGACAGCTGGCAAGTTTTTCCGCAAAAGTAGCTGCTTTTCCGGAAAAAGTGGCCAGTCTAGACACAGCCGTATAGTTTGGAAAAGTGCCCAAACCCAACTATGTCCGGAATGCTCTTGGAGCATTTTTTAATGAATCCCTATACTAAAAAAAGACTATGGATAAAGTGTAAGGCTATGAGCAGAATCCTGAGATAGGAGGAAAGACTGTAAGGAACAAATTTGGAAGAACTTTCTGAGAGCATTTGAGAGCCATGATCGAGTTAGTGTGCCCAGAGTAAGCATGGCTGAAGAAGAGAGGGGAACTCTTGCGATGATGGAGCAAGCCATCTGGCTACCAAAACAGACTTTCCTTCTGGGGGGCTCCCCATGATTTTCTGGTGTTGGCATTCAGTTTTTTCTGCTGGGATCCTATCCCCCTTTTGCTTTCACACTTGAGCCCTAGTGAGAGAAGATGAAGTGAGAACAAGTTTGTTTTGGATTTTGTTTCGATTACTTTTAGGGTAATACAACTATGTTAGTAATTTAAATTCTTATTTGACTTGGTAGTGGGGTTTTGTGAGTAAAAGGAACCCATCAAGCAGCCTGAGCTTGTAAAGAGATTGTGCTTTTGGGTGAGGATTGAATTTGTTGGAGTGTGGTAGTGGTCGCGGGTTGGCCATGGTTTGGTGACAGATCGGCATTGTTTTTTCCACCGCTTTGTTTCAGTGTCATGGTTGCATTTTGCTTCCCAGTAGCTATCCCTGCACTCAAGGAGTCTGAGAGATCTGCTATAATTAGAGGGGAGGGAAAAGATTAATGACATTTTATTGCCTACGCTACTTTGCTGAAATAATCGGCAGGGAGAGGATAGCGCTAGAAAGAGATTGGAGTTTGCTTTTCTCGTCATTGCTGATCATTGTCATAAAGATTGTCAGGCTCCAATATGAGAGGAAACCTCTGGTATCCCCCTGGAGTTCTGAGTTGCTTTGCAATTTGTCTGCATAATATAGGGGGAGGAGGAAGGGGGCTGTGCTAGGACGTTTTCAAACAATAACCGTGTTGGAAAATGACTTTCTTGTGTTTCAGCTGTTGTCAGTATTTTGTTTTCTAGAGCACTTTAATATTCATCCAAGCTGAAGTAGATGCTCACAGATTATTATTTCTACACATTCAACAATATAATTTTGAGGATCTTGTCTTTGTCCTTTTGGTACAGCACTTGACATCTCCTCGCATTGAGTCTAATATTTTTTCCACTAGAAGCCAGTGAACCGTGTGAGTAAATTTTAGTAATAATTCTGTGCTGCTTCTATCTGATGCCTCTCTTTCTATTAAAAAAGATCCAGTCCGCTTTTCTTACTTTGTGGAATGTTGGTTTTAAATGTGCTGCAGTTTCACCAACTGCTTGTCGTGATCACAGAGGTAAAAGGGGAGGATTAACAACCAATGTATATCTAGTGAAATCAGCCCTGTCATAGTGATTTTTTTATAGATCATTTTCTTTTGTAGCTGAGTTCAAAAGGCAGCCTTGAATTTGCTGATTTGAATTTGTTCTTCATAATTATTACAGTATTTAAAAGGAGTTTTTGAAGTAATCTTAGCTGATGTGTGGGCCAGCTACACCACTGCAGTAGTTTTCCTAGTTTGAAAACTTTCCATAGTGAACCAAAGAGCTCTACTTAGCTGTTGTTGATTTAATTTGATCATTTGAATTGTCAATAAGATAGAGGTTATTTTGCCAAATTAACTATTAAAATGTATACAAAGTTGGAAGTTGCAGGGAGTTACGTGTACTAGATTTAGGAGAAGATTTTCAAAGGCACAAAATGCACCTAACTCGGTGAAAATCAATAGGAACTAAGTGCCTAAAACCGTCATTCGAAAATGTTTCCCTTTGATTTTAAATGAGATTAATGCTTGCCTTCGTAAGCAGAGAGAAAGGGTTCCACGGAAAACCTAAGCAGCTAAAACATGCTAAGACTAAGATTGCTGAGCCAAAAAGTGCAGGAGGAACTTTTAATTTAGAAAATGTCATTGATACTATCTTTTGTTAACAGAGCTGTTCTTTACTGAGAACCAAGACTAAATCTTTCCAAGTTCTCTTGCTTCAGAACTTGCAATGTTTTTAATGATTTTTCTTTGCTGATTTCCGAGGCAGTGTTAAATGCTAATGTAGCTATTCCATAAATGTGGGCGGGTTTTGTTGTGCAAAGCTAAAGTTTTATAGATGCAACATTATTTTAATATTATTTTGGAAACTAAATAGGCTCTTTGGCCATCAATGGAGGTGGAATTTGTGTTAGCGTTAAGTGTATTTGTATCCGATTGTGTGGAGATACTGGATCTGTTTTCAGGAAGTGTATTCTGTAAATACCCAGCCAAAGCTTGTCTGCAGTCTGGGGAAGTACACAATCGAACTAGCAGTGTATATGCCAAATAAGTATCAGATTATGGGCACATAGACTTTAAGCCTTGAATAGCTCTGAATTAGTTGTAATGCAATCTCTTCCTTTTCTACATGGAACAAAATTTACTTACATATATAGGGGTGTAGCTTTGGGGGGAATATGTTATGCGCTGCTAGTGTAAGGACTGTGTAATGTTAACACAGCCTTTCAGCATTAGCGCTTGCTTTTTTGCTTGATGGAGAATATTTGCCCCAAATCACAGGGTTACTTTCTCTTGGTTTCAAAATGTACCAAGAAGTCTATCATTTCCATCTGAATGGCAATAGCCAAACAGACCTTTAACGCTCTCCATGCAAGGATGCACTTCTACAAGCACATCCGTAATACTTCTCCCCATCCCCACTCCACCCTCTAAACAATCTGCAATCCCTTGGTGCAAGTACAGATCCCAATGTAGGAACTTGTTCTCCTGACTTGTTGATAGAATTTAAAATTTGGACCAAAACCACCAAAGTGAGGTTGCAAATAAATAGCTTAAATCACCTAACTTACTGCACAACCTTTATGGTAAAACTTCTAAAATGGTGAGCCGAGAGGAGAAGATATTGTTCCCAACCTGGCCTTAGCAACAGTGGCACCATCTGACTTCTCTGGGTGCCTAGACAGAAGACATGGAAATACATAGCTGCGTACTCTTTGAGGTGCAACCTCCTGAAGGACTGGTGTACACTGTATAGTCTGTCCTGATCTCCCTGAAATTCATTGAACTGAGGTAGGTTTTCTGATTTCTGTAACACTTAGCAGAGCAATTTAAAATACAAACTGTAAAAAGTTTATTTCTGACTGCAGTGTAGCAGGTACGGTTCATGAACCAAGTCAGTTGTCCTTTCAGATTGATCACCATTTTAGAGTCTTAGTTGATTGTGACTGGTAATGTGAAAGGAAACTTTTCAGTCTCTTTTTTTCCTATTTGAGTAGCTCTAATTTGACTGTGACATTTTGATCTGAATTGAAATGTCACATGCAACGTCTTGGCCCAACTTCTTTTTATAGATAAATCTCTTTTTAAGAGGCCATTCAAGATTCCACACGTATTGAGTACAGTTTTGATATTAGACACACTTCACTTAGGCCACCAGTTCCTGTTAGGCTTTGAGTGAATGGCCTCTTAAAATGTGTTTTGTTGTGTTTCAAACTCCCCAGCTGATCCTGGATTCCTCAGCTGACCCTGGGCTCCATGTAAACGCCACAGTGGTGTTTCAAAGGGGCAGCACCGCATGGAGCCGGGGTCAGTTCCATGCAGCGCTGCTTTGAAACACTGAGGCAGCGTTTCAAAGGGACAGTGCTGCACAGCTGAGCCCAGGATCAGCTGTGCTGCCCCTTTTGAAATGCTGCTGCAGAGTTTCAAGAAGGCAGCACTGCACGGAGCCTGGGCACGGGCTCCATGTGGCGCTGCCACTTTGACTATCTGATAGAGGCAGCCAGGGGGCGGGAATTGACTAGTCAACTCAACTATCTGATAAGCATTTGCTTAATGGATAGTCGACTAGTCGTTAACATCCTTAGTCTTTATGAACTATTTTAAATTAGCATGCTGCCAAGTGTGTCGTGGTAACAGAGAACAGAGAGATTTTAATGGAGTCATATTTTCAGATGTACATCTTTCTGGAGGGAGAATTACATGTGTAATTTAAACTTTAGAGCGTTTCAGCAGCAAGGTTCAATACTTACCATTGCGTGGTAGCAAAAACACCAAATGCATTTTACTTGAAAAAATGTATATAGGAGACCCTCCCGATTCACAGTTCCATATATCTGTGAGTCTTCTTTCCCAGCATGGATAGGACAGTGGGTGCTGGGAGCCACGGGGAACTCACCATAGGGGCTAGGAGCCACAGTTCCCAGTATTCGTGAATTTCACCATTTGTGCTAGATGCAGGAACACATCCACCGCAAATAGTGAGGGTTTCCTGTATTGCTTAGTTAAAGGCTAGCTATAAAATATGTTGGACTATAGGCTACTAGATATTTTTAAATAGAGCGGTGATGTTTAAATTAACATCTTTGGATTTATATGATCAGCTGAATTAGGAGCTTCTTTTTAAAGCTATAAATAAAAAGATATATTTGAAATAATGAATGGTGTATTTATGGTCATAACTGTATAAAGGGAAATGCAATGGAAAATTTGAGTCATCTGAGCTGATGTTTGAGACATTTCCCTATGGAGTCACTGGAGTGAAAAATGTTTTGTATGCTTAAACTTGAACAGATGCTTCAAAACAGACAGGCAATTTATTGCCATGCAAGTTTAAAGTTTGCAGTTCCATTTACTCAACCAGGATTAACTTAACGCTTCAATTTTAAAGCCTAATTTTCAGTGTCTTTTAGTTGACCTCCAAGGCCCCAGTTCAGGAGGGCATGTCTAACTGTAAGAAGTCCAATTGATGTAGGTGGGATTGCTCACGAACTTAAATTTAGCAAGTTTCTGAAGCATATGCCTGAATTTGGATCTAAATTAGGGATGGGATAGTGTAAACAGTTACATGCAGCCCTCCCCGAAGCTGCTGCCTCTGTATCAGTGGCAGCAGCATAGGAGGGGGGTAGCAGGGCAGGCGGGAGCTGGTGCTTTTGGGGAGCCCCCTGCCCCCCCCCACATAAACTTGTAACCACTGAAAACTTCAGTGGTTACACGTTTACCAAAATAAACACATTTTCACATCCCTAATCAAAATTTCCACATAGGAAATGAGGATAAATCTTGTGTTCCTTTCTTAACAGCATTTTTGCCCAAATAACATAGGATTGATCCTCAGCTATCACAGAAATTAATTGCACCTTTTTGATACAGGTTTGTCAGACAACAAAATAATTACAACTTATGGTACATGTCTGGGCTCCTGGTTAAAAAACCTGTTACAATACTCAAAGGAAATGCAAAATTCATAATAGGCAATCAGCAAGTCTTACATACCAAACTATGGATGTTAAAAAGCATTCTTTTTGTAAACGTGTAACCACTGAAATAGACATTAACACGCAGGGAGTGGCTCCATGGGAGCCGGTGCTCGTGGGTGAGTAGGGATGTTAAATATTGGTTAGTTGAATTGTCGATTGACCTCATGAATTCGTATCGGTTAGCTGACTCTTCTATAGTCACCAGGCAGCCCCTGTCTGGGGAGAAGGGGTCTGAGCTCCTGGACCCGGCATGAGCGGGAAGTGAGCCGGGCTGTCTGCCTGCCTGGCTCCTAACACACTTTAAATGCGGAGCCACAGGGGAATAGGTCCTGGACCCAATGCAAGAAAAATTTACTGGCAAGGGATGGGGGGCGGGAAATGCGTGTTGTCTTTGGCATTAACCTATATGCTTTTGCTTATCGGTTAATCGACGCTACTATTGCATCCCTAGTGGGGGGTTGCCTCCCTTCCTGCCCCTGCTCTGCTGCCTCTATCATCAGCAGTGGTTGGGGAGTGTCAGTTGGGAGTTGGTGCTCTTGCAGAGACACCTGTCCCCTGTCGCTGATATAGAGGCAGCAACATGGGGAGAGGGGCTTGCATGTTACCATGAAGGTTTTAAGCGAGTACAGTGTCACATCCCTAACTCTAACCACTAATCCCCATCTCCTAGGACTTTTTAAAAACTTCTCAGCAGCTCAAACAGCTGCCATTTCTCATTCAAGGAGTAGCCTGTTGGAGTATTGATTCCTCTTTAATCCCCCAAAGTGGAAATTTGTAGAGGTAAGAGGAACAGAAGAGGTGACATTCAGCACTGGATTTATGATAGGTCTGAACTAATTGCTATATTTGGCATTGAAAAGGAATTTTCTCCTGAGTCTCATTGACCAAGATCCAGGTGGGGGGGGGG